GCTGCCCTCCTTCTCGCACCGTCACTCGCGCCGCACCAACTTTGCATTTTTGTTAGACTTGCAATGCCATCAACTGTCTTTTACTTTGATCTTTGTAAAAACACAATCCTCTCCTTCTGGCAACCACATGCCACGGCCATCCTGTCTTTCTCGCGTCTACTTGAAGCGTCTTGATTGTGGCATTGCTCCGTCATCTGTCGTGACTGCTCACTTCTAATACATCAAGCCTCCTCGGCCAAGTCTTCCTTCTTTGGTCGTCTTCTTCTTCTTCTTTCCCACCACCATCATCTGCCGCTTTTCCGGGGAAATTTCGCCTCCATTCATCAAAACTCGCCTTGTTTGCCTCGACTGACGACGAACTAATAGCAGCCCTGGTCCATTGACATCGTCGACTGGATCTTAACAAGGGCCCCAGTCGTCACCAGCGGCTACAAGCCCATTGACAGCAAGCGACATCATCTCACCCCCACCAACATTTGAACTCAATCAGGGCCTTTGCGATTTTCCACGTCTGCTGCTGCCTTCAGCTTCTCAATTCTATCCGCGTCTGGCTTTCAGCATTGGGGATTCCCATCAGCTCTTCGGTCAGCCAGTCGAGCTGCGAGCCAATCACAGCGCCGCCTTTGTCTCCCGGGGGGTGTGCGTTTCATCGTGTGCCTGCGTCCGCTTTCCTTTGCTGGCCTGGCCGCCACATCGCAATTACCCTCTACTGCCAGGCGCCCCAGAAGTCGTCCACTTTGGGTACCAACGAACGCCTACTCTGCGTCAGAGTCATCGCATTGGCATCAGTCATCGTCTGTCATTTGCCAGGCATTACGCAGAGCTGCCTGTTGCATTTCCATTCGCAGGACACGGGGCGAAGCCTTAAAGCCCCTTGCAAGCCCCGTCGCCGCCTGTCTGTGAGCCTGGCTCCCTCAGTCGTGCGTTTCTCTATCAGAATCAGCTGTCCCACATTGCATCCAGCAGTTGAAATAACACGATAGCCCCATGAATCGGGTGGTCAATTGCGTCTCTACTCATCATCTTGGCAACCGACGGCTGGCGACATTGAGCAATTGAGCCGGGTGATTGGATCGTCTACTCGGGCTCCCACGCGCATCGTCTACCGGTTGCGCATAACACGCAGGCAATCAATCAATCAATCAATCAACCCACACCCCCTCCGCCGTCGTCGCCTCGCAGCAAACGCGATCTCCCTGGAACCTTACGCTACCACTGCCCACCGCCAAAATCGGAGCAAACCACAAAACGATAAAGACGGCCTTCCCCCTCTCTTTGTTGGATTTGGCTTTTACTGTACAAGCTTAGTTTATTGCACCGTTTCCCAAGTCTCCAAACTCCGGCGGGCAGTAACCTTCGGACTCGGGCACTGTATCTCCGACTGTGGCTGCTGCCTACTCGCGCAGCTCCAGAGCGGTCTTCGCCACCCATCCACGTCACTGTGTCTCCTCGTCAGAAGTGACAGCCCAACTCACACGCAATGGCTGACAAACCGACATCCAGTCAGGCGCGCACTTCCACCACCTTCGATAAGGACAAGCAGCCTGCCGTGACTGCAACTCCATCATCTTCGTCTTCTTTAACCCATCTTGCTTCCTCCTCCTCCTCTTCCTCTCCCTCAATTTTTTTCCCCTTCGCACGTCGATTCTCCAATCCTCCAATGGCATCACATTCACCGACCGCCGACCAGGCGCACTCGTCAATGGCTCCACCGCCACCGCCAATTGAGTCCAAGAAATTCGACATTACCAGCCTGATGTCACCGCCCGACGCCGTGCTCGACAGCTTTCATCATGGCAATTCCCTATTGAACAAGTCGGGCGGTGCCAATGGCAAACAATCATCGGCGCAGCAGCCGCTGCCCATGTCACCGCCCATCTCGCCTTACAGCAAACCCATCTCGACGACTAGCAGCACCCTGCCTGCAACTCCACACAGCCAGCCCATCAAGGACCCCGTCTTGTACCCTGCCGACGAGCACTCGCCGGCCAGTCCTCCGCAGCCTCCATTGTTTGCTCCCGCTGAGCTTGAACACCAACGCATTGTTGACGAGCACGTTCGCGCCCGGTCGCAGAGCATTTTCAGTGGCGTCACGCCACCCAAGAGAGAAGATTACGAGCTGGTCCTCACCTTTCGATCTCAGGTCATGACGCACTTCACCACGAACCCTAAAGGATGGCTGCGCAAAGAACTGGCCCTTCTCAGGGCTGATAGACGGGCCGGCGCCCAGCGATACCATGCAATCATGCCAGCCAAGCCCATTGCCGCCAAACCTCCCCGATCCCAGCGGACTGATCGAATCTCCAAGCCTCATGCAACTCCGAGACCGATTCGCACCAACGCCACAACGGTTGGAACCACGCCGGTAAGACCTGTGGGCCGCACTAGCGCAACTCCTGAACCGTCTCGTCGGGTCGTGGCTCCCAATCGTGAGGACAAGGACTTCAACTCACTGCCCGACTATTGCCCCCCTTTGAACTCACTTCCCAATCGCTCCAACAGCCTCAAGGTGGATTGGAAGGGTCAGCCAATTGATCTCAGCAGCGATCCGCACGCCAGTCTGCTTCACCCCGACGAGCTTCTTTTGGCAGGAAACCTGCGCCTGGACTGTGCCACGTACCTCACAAGCAAGCGTCGCATCTTTGAGCGTCGCCTCCAGTGCCTTCGCACGGGCAAGGAATTCCGCAAGACAGATGCGCAGCAGGCTTGCAAAATTGACGTCAACAAGGCATCAAAGCTGTGGACGGCTTTCGAGAAGGTGGGCTGGCTGGAACAAGGCTGGGTTCGTCGATTCCTCTAGACTGATTGGCACCCACAAATAATCAACTTGATAACGACAAAGTTGTGCATACGACCACGCATGACTGGTCGCGTTACATGGATTTACAATAGCGCTTTACGGACTTGTTTAACGATATGTTGATTTAATCAGCCGGTTGGCATTGGACAATATGGATTCGGCTGCGCCGGACGAGCTACGGCCCTCCAAGCCACAGCATTTGATTCGTTCTATCCCCGAAACTTTTTTATTTTTATTTTTATTTCCTCTTTTCCTTTATTCTAGTTTTGATATGCATGCGGTATATGGCATGACGCGGCACGGCACGGCACACATGAGCAACTCGATACACAGAGCACTAGGGAACATCACGATACCCCGGAGTGGAATCCAAGTTGACCCCCATTGCGATTTCGTCACTCCACTCCACGTTTTTGATTGATTTGGATCAATTTTCTTATGTCATTTTTTTCGGCTTCCTTGTTTGAGGGTGCCATCTCATTTTTTTTTTCAAATCTGAGATTGGTTCTCCGACGACTGGGCTGGACATTCTTTACACGGGCCAGGTTGTATGTTTCAGGATATTGCATGTATGGCGTTATTCTCTCACAAGGGCCATTTGAGAATGGGAGGTGGCAAGACTGGAGCATTGCCTTCTCTTGAAGAGAGGCACGCTGCATTTTACAATGCGATGGTGACGGAATATATGTTTGGTATGGGAAATCCCTAAGGGGAGCCGGTGGCACAACCCACTTGGCATACATACTCTCGTTGTATGAACTGGAATAGGTAGATAGTGAGGCTGAGAGTGGTCCTACAAGGGCTGCAGCCATAACAGAGCCAATTTCTTGTTCACAGTGGGCGCAAGCGTTTGCCTAGTAATAATGAAGAGTCAAATGTGAGTCGCGACGTGGCAGTGGGACGGGATCTCATGTCGCAACAGCGTCGGGGTGACGAGGACCCTGCGTCCGGGGATGCACGTCGTTGTCGGTACTCCGTGCTCGGTACCCAGGATCTTGTTTCCCAGATCTCGCTTCGGACGGAGGGCCATTTTAGCTCAACGCATTTTTATTTTTTTTTCAGCCCTACGAAAGGGAGGGGGGAGGGGGGTGTGCGTGCTGTCACGAGGGGACATGACCGGGGGCGTCTTATCGATACCGATATTGATATCGAGATACGGGCCGTTGCGGCTTGACGGGACCTGGATGATTCGGGGAAAGGAAGACAGCCGGCGCCGGGCAGCACCGGGGGGTGGGGGTGTAGCGTGAGAGCGACCAACGCAGCCGAGAGCATGAAGTTGTCTCGACTGGGAAAAGCTGTTGATGAGCAGTTTATACGTGCGAGATGGAGGCGAATGTCGTGTCTGTTTTGAAATTTTGAAGTGCACCGCTGGAGGGGAGAGGTTTGTGTAGGGTAGTCTGGTGTTGAGGGGCTCGGGAAGACTCTTTTTGTATCCTGTTTACCAGATCCTCTTTGGCGGAAGAAAGGACGGTGTAGGACTCGTCTTGTGGCTAGTCTAGATGTATGGCTTGGCCAGCAAGCTTTGGTTGTGTCGCTGGCTTGTATGAATTATCAATATGCTATGCTTTGTTTTGTGTGGAATTGCGGAAGCAAAGAATGTACTGGATCAAGTGCATCTCTTTTTTCGTTGTATCTTTACGAAAAATAGTAGATACTAGTCATGCCGAGTGTTACACTCCCCTGCGCACCATGGAAAGAAATAAAGGCGTTGATCTGTTATACTTGTCTTTGTACGGAGTAGTCTGGAGGAATACCAGACACGTAAGCTGTTACACTCCCTGGGCATTATTTAAAGAGCAAACAATGTTATGAATCTGTCGTACTACTGCCTACTCGCATGAAATAAAAAAGACAAATGAGACTCGGATCCGTTCTTGCTCCTCAAATGTAAAGAGACAAGACACTTTTCCTCCGTTGCCCCCCCTCCCTTCCGCACTATCAAACAATAGGTCCTGCCAGCAACGACCAAGGCCACTCATCACATTCCCCGTGTATATCCAGTATTTAGTCTCGCGCGTCGTGCCCACGTCGTATCCCACGTCGTATCCAGGGTCCAAGAGGCACGTCCTTTCCCCTCTTGGCCCCGATGAGTTGTGACCAAGCATAACCGTCGTCGAGTGTCTCGTACGTGAGCCATCGTTCCAGGCCGACGAGGATAGATTATGCCAGCACACGGGCAAGATGCGCGCAAATAGCATCATCACGCCGACGCGCCCGTCCCACCACTGCCCACGGGACAAACCCCCTCGCAGACACAAGCCGTCGGACACACCTCCTCCCGGCACGGCTTGCAGCGCTCCTCGCACGCATCGGGCAGCGGCGCGCCACACGTCCACGGGCACGCGACGCCGGGCACGGCCACCTGCGAGCACAGCTTTCCCGGCGCGCACCGCGGCGTGTAGTCGACGGGGTAGCAGTCTTCGCCGGAGCCGTCTCCGTTGGCGGCATCCAGGGGCAGGCCGACGGCGGCGCCGACCAGAGCAACAATGTGCAGCTTCATCGTGACAGCATGTACCGAGGACTCCGGACGGACCTGGGTTGTATTACAAGGATATTGGGTAAGTCGGTCGGATAGGAAAAATGGAAAGCGTTGCTGGCCCCCTTTTTTTTTCGGGGGGATGATAGGTGCCCGCGTGGGTTTTTATACGCCGGCCGCCGCGCTTACTCGACTGAGACCTGGGGGCGGTCGAGGAATGGGACTCGGCACGAGGCTGGGGGTACGTGTCTCATTTCGAGGGCTCGTTGCCGTGGGACGGAGCGCAAGGGATGTATAAGTAGATGTTTGCTGATGCGTGGCCGGGAAGACGTGACACGGTGGTTGCGAGGGCCTTGGTCGAACACCGAACACGCGCAAAGGGCACGGTGAAAATAGCTCAAAACGAAACATGTTGGCAAAATTCAGTATCGCGGCTCGCGTGCTACTATGGAAATTCGTAGGCATTAGATGCAGGGTTGCGGTCCCCCGGCACAAAACACCATGTTGAAGCGGTCCATGGCATCATGTACAGCCGAGATGTTCGCGTCTCTTTTTTTTTTGGTAGCTAAGCGGCTCCAGCTTTCCACTGTCTGGTTGGAACGCTGTCACTGGTCTGTTGTATTCGCCGGGATACATGGGCAGATGGATATATACACACTGTCTGGCCAGCCCGTCCATCCGTCCTTCGTGACAAGTTATACTCATAAACAGGACCCGCGTCATGAGCTCATGGTATTAATACACCCAACTCCCCAAGTCCCCCTTTTCACTTGACTTCTATGTGCTGCACCGCCTTTAACCACTTCTGCTCATCGCTCCTGGACAAACGTTAGCGCTCCCACGTCAGACTCGCATCTCAGAAAAGACCAAAGCTACTTACTTGTCAAACTTCAACAACTTGCCCAGCACAGGCACCAACTGCGCCCTCAGTCTCCCGTCCTTCTGCTCCAGAAACTGCAGCAATATCGTCTTCAAGTACATGGTATCGCCGCTGCCCGCCGCGCCGTTGCCCCCATTGCCGCTTCGCGTCGAGTCCATGGAGCTGCGACTCGAGCCCGCCACCAGCTTCGACTGCGCCGTCTTCAAGTCCCTGGCGAGCTTCTCATAGCGCTGCCGCGAGTCGTCCAGCATCTTGCGCAGGTCGCCGCGCTGCTTCTCGCCATCGCGCAGCTGCGTCTCCGACGTGTCCAGCGCTGACCGCAGCTGTGACACCGTCGTGCGCATCTCCTCCGTCTCCGCCGACGCCTTGGACTCGATGGCTTCGAGCTCGTCCCGCCGCCGCTTCCACTCCCTCTGCCGCTCCTCGAGCTCGTCGCGCTCGTTGGTCAGCGACTTGACTTCGCGCTCGAGTTCGCGAATCTTGCCCTTCAGCTCCTCCGACTCGCGCGCCTTGCGCCTCGCCAGCGTGCTCGACTCGTCTTCGATGCGCTCGCGTTCTTCAATCGCCGCCTCCATGCGCCCGCGCATCTCGCGCACCTTGGTGTCTGCGCGCTCGTCCACGTCTGCCAGCAGGCGCCGCATCGTCTCTCCCTCACGCGTTCGCTCCTGCAACAGCCGCTGCACCTCGACCAGTTCCTCTTCCAGCGACTCTGCCTGCGACTTGGATTCCTTTAGCTGCACAGACAGCTCCGTCGTTTGGTCGCGCATGCTAGTCAACAGGCCCTGTGCGTTGGTGTACTGCTGCGACTTGAATTCCGCTTCCTCCTGCGCCGCGGCCTTTTCTCTTCGTAGCTTGTGCATCTGCTCCTCCAGCTCCTTGACGCGCGGGCGCAGCTTGTTGAGCTCGTCCTGCGCCCTTTGTAGCTCGCGTTCCGTCTTTTCGGCCTTGGCACTGAGCTCAATCTTGTCGGCCTCGGCCCGTCGTAGATCCTTCTCAGCCGTGCGCTTGCCATCTTCCGCCTTTTGTTTGCTGCTTTCCTCGGACTTGAGCTTCTCTTGTAGGCTCTTGATCTCCTTTTCGCCATCAGCCACCAGTTGCTGGGCTTTGCTGACGTCACGCTTCAGCTCAGACTCCCTCCTTTCTGCAGTCTTGAGCTCCTTGATCTTGGCGGCAAGCTCCTCCTTGGTTGTCTTCAATTCGGCCGACTCTTGTCTTAAGCTCTTTAGCTCCGGCTGTGCCTTTTGCAGTACTTCCCTCAGGTCCGTCAGGTCTTTGAACCGGGTCTGAGCTAGCTGTTGAGCAGCGCCCAAATCAGACTGCAACGTGGTCGACTTGTCCCTGAGATCATCGTACTCCTTTCGTAGAGCGTCCAGGTCGCCTTGAACCTTTGCGTTGGAAGTTGCATTGGATTTTGACGATCCAACCTGGGCCTCGAGCTCAGCAATATGTTCCTTGAGCTTGGTCTTCTCTTGCTCGAGCTCTTTGATCTTCTCCTTTGCTTCAACATGGTCTTGTCCAATGTTGACCAGGTTCTCTTGTAAATTCTCAATCTCCTCCCGTAGATCTTCCTCGGTCTTGCGCCTCTTGGAAAGCTTCTCAATTTGCTGGTCCTTTTCTTCAACCTCAGTCTTGAGCTTGGCAATCTCAGCCTCAAGAGAAGAAAGGGCAGCACTGTCCGGTTTTTCAGTAGCTTCCTTGGGGTCCTCCTCTTCAGCTGGAGGCGGAGCTGCCGCAGTGGCACCACCGGCACCACCCTTGCCCTTCTTCTTCTTGTTATTCTTCTTTTTGGAGCCTCCAGCGGCAGGAGTTATCGCAGGAGTTGGCTGGGTGGTAGTTGGTTGGGATGTAGCAGGCGAATCCAGTTTCTTAGTGAGCTCCTCAATCTTTGCCAAACTCTCCGACTTGTCCTTTTTGAGGCCCTCGATCTGGGTGCTAAGGTCGTCAATCAGCTTCCTAGATATGGACTTTGCATTATTGGCCTTGGTAAGCTCAGCATCAAGCTCACTGGCCTTCTTGTCCGACTCGGCAAGAGAGGCCTCGACATCCTCGACCCGTGACGCATGCTCCTTCTTATCCCTCTCCGCCCGTTCTTCCAGGTTCTTCAGCTCTGACTGTGCCGCGTCCAACTTTTCAGTTAGTGCCCTGATTTCCTGGTTACGTTCGTCGAGCTGTTTTCGTAGCGATGCCTGCGGTCCGGAAGCCTCCCGAGATTCGCTCAATGCTTTGCTTGTCTTTTCCAAGTTTTCTGCCAAGCCAACACTGTTCTCCTTGGCAATGGACAGCTCTTTTTCCAGATCCTCGACTTTGCCCTTGAGCTGCTCAATTTCTTCCGTCTTGGACGCCACCTCGGCCTGTAACTGGGGAATTTCTTCGTCGTAGGAGAAAAAGTCCTCGCTTTCTGATTTGCCGTGGTGGGCATCCTGCGCCTTCTGCTTGGGCGAGAACATGCTAATGACGGACGCAACAGGGGACTTGACCTTCTCGGCAGCAACATCAACGCTAGTGCGGGCAGGTGGTTCTAAAGACTTTCGTCCACTCGACTCGGCAGCAGTCTCGACAGATTTACCACTCTTGAGAGCCTCCAATTCCCCTTGTGCCTTCTTGAGCTTCTCCTCGGTCTCGACGTGCTTCTTCTTGAGTTCTTCCTTGTCGGCAGACACCTTCTTCAGCTCATCCATGACCATGTCACCTCTCAAGTTCAATTGGTTGAGGTATTCGACGAGAGAGTCCGGATCGTTGATGGATGTCAGCGGCGTATTCTCGCGCAGCGCCTTTTCAAAGGGCTCAATAGCTGTTGCGCGCTTATGCGCAACCCTATATGATCGCAGGAGCTCTGTAACGAATCATCAGCACAGCGCTCAATTAATTACCACCTGTGAGTCCCGCATACCCGGGTACGTCGACTCCAGCTTTTCTAGCTTCCTCAGCCGCTGCTTAATCTCTGGGCTCAACTCCGCAGGCGCGGGAGCATCCCCGTCCTCCTTCGACTTGTCATCTGCGTGCTCTTTATCCGCATTCGCACCGTTGGCCAGAGACTTATCTCCCTCCTCACCCTTTGGAGCAGACGTCCTGCCTCCATCAATGTTATCCTTCTCAGGGGGCGGGGGCGGTGCAGGTGTCCCCGAGCGGCTGGGCTCGTCACTATCGTCAATGACAAAGGCGGCCTCGAAGACGGCCGGGTCGGGGTTCGGGGTCGCCGAGTCAGTCATATCGGCAGACGGTTTCTTTGGCCGGGGTCGGCGTCCGGCAGGATTGGCATCACTCCTGCGAGACGACGTCGATCCGGACCTCGAAGGGGTTGCGCTGTCGACAGCCTTCTGGCGGGCTTGCTCCTCGGCAATGGTGCGGTCGATGGCGCCTCTGATTCTCTGCGCGGAGGAGGACGGCAGTTAGTATGGTGGTTCAATCGAGCTGGCTCTTTGTGGGCCGTATAGATGGCAAACAGGGATAGAGAGACCAACTTGGAACATTGTGCTCGTTGGCGCTGGCCAGGCCGCGGCTGACCAGTGGACAAGTGGTGTCTAGGAATCGGAATGCGCAGGCATAAGGAACGCAAAGCAGGAATACAGAGAAGGCGGTGATGCAATGGACAGAAGAAAGAAAAATAAACCGAATTGCACACGTGACTGGGCTATACACTCATTGCGTCTGCTCTCAGAAACCCGACGTTGCACAGAGTGACGATATTGAAAGTTGACACTTTCTGGAGTTGGTCGATCCCCTGGTCATCCCGGCAGCTGCAGGTGTGGCTGATGCTGAGCCACAGAATGCCTGCAGCTGGCTCGCATGCCATCAAGCATTGAACGGGAAAGCAGCTCGGGCTGCCATCCGCCTGAAAACCCTTCCTCCTCTGGATTCTCAAACAATTCTTCTTCTTCTTAGTCTTACAGGCATCTCTCGTATTGATCCTCCCTATCAAAGCTAGGCACCACTCTAAAACAGTCCTCAGCGATATGCGCCGTTGGATAAAGTGTGGCTGATGCTCTCCGCCACACCTCCGTCAATCTCCAAGCTGCCAGCTCAGCTCGAGCTTCACATCACCACCCACCTCACTCCTCTCACCAGTCTCCTCGCCCACACTCCAGAGCCCGAGCACCAAAATGGTCTCCCTCTGGCCCTGGAAGGCAAGAAAACGCCCTCGCCC